TTTTTTTTTTTTTTTTTTTTTTTTTTTTTAACATTTGAATGGTATTAAAGTGTTCACTATAAAAGTAAACCTCAGTACTATTTTTTTAAAGTTTTATTGGATACCCCAGTATAAACTAACTGACAAGTGAATGTTACCAGTCTCCAACTCTATATGGATGCATGGTACCCTAGCTTGTTTTTTATTTGTTTGTAAGCACAAGCTCAAGGGTCCTTGGTTCAATTTCTCAAGTGTCAGACAACACCCAGCCATCACAATGGCAACCTGGGTCATGCAACTTTAATAACAATGACAACTGTTCTGCCTTTAAAATGCATTCTGGGAAGTAAAAAACTGAGGCAATTTTAGAATACTTACTGAAGTCACCGGTGAGAAACACTGCTTCTGCCCCTGGTGCCCATTCTTTACAATATATTCCACCATCCACAAACAGGTTGACTCCAAAAGTTTTGTAACTTTTTGAAAACTTATCAAGGCCTCCCTCATTTTCCTCAATGTTCTTCAAGTGTTGATAAAACAAAGCGTACCTAAAAGAAAGATTTTAAGAGATTTAGCAAACCATCTTATTCAGATCAGTCAGTCAGACCTACACCTGACAGGACCTTTCTTTACTGCACGCTCAAGTGAATTTTCAGTGAGGTGGCTCATTTTGATACCACCTTAGCCATATTTTCCTTTGTTTATGGCAAGCAAGCAAAACAAAATCCCAGGGAAGTTTGCATGTATAGAAGTGCATATCTTGCTAATGCTGCAATTCAGTGTAAAGTTATAAAAATGCCTGCCTCGCATACCTCTACGTTTCCTTTACTTTCCAGAAAGAGTTTGTGCTTTAGTCCCCTACACTGAAACTTGTGATCGACAGCCCAGAAGCCATAGGGTTATTAAATAATAAAAGGAGAACTTCACACTTTAAACAGCTTAGCAATTTTCTTCATGTGGCCTATAACCAATAAAAATAGGATTATAGGGAGAAATCCTATAGATTTGAAAATATCTACTGCAGCAAATACTGTAAATATAGTAGGATCTTAATAATTAATCTCTGCTTTCCAGATGTCATGCCAGGGACAGTGGTAGACACAAGCAAAAGCACATTCAGCATATAGATTTTTAATGCTAGAAATATTTGAGAACTTCCAGAGAAAAAACAACACTAGGCAGTTGCAACTTGCTTTAATAGTTTCTGCCAACCGTATCAGCTTGCTCTCCTACTTAGTCCCAATGTAGCTAGAAATGCCAAGAAATCTTTGTCAGGGCTGTAGAACTGGGGTTAAAATTGCAGTCTATGGGGCTAGTTTGCCTGGCCACCATCCCCTTGCCTAGTGCTGAATACAGAGCCTTCAGTCACCATTAACAAGCTAAAAAATGACAGGAAAAAACCAGGGCAGGTGGAAAGATGGACAGTAGCAGCATCCCACCCCCCAAACCCCTCAGGTTCTAGAGCCATGGGAAGGCAGCCCTGGCAGCCATGCCAACAAGGTATCTACAGCTCACAAGGCGGCCTGGGATCCAGATCTGGCCCACAGAGCCAATTGAACTGACTGCTCCTGCTCTAAGTTAACATTATATTGAAAATTACTAGAAAAATCCTGCCCTCTACTTTCCATTGACCCATCAATTTCAAGAGGTAAGGTACTAAGTATGGAGGAAAGACTGGTTGTTCAACTTGTTTAGATCAGGGATTGGCAGCCTATGGCCCATGGGCCAGATCAAACAACAGCCCAGGGTGTACAGGAGATAAGTGCCATGACACAGCCGTGTTATGTCTGGTCTTCTCCACAGCACTCTTTGCTGCCATCTCATACCTGCACTTACCCTCACTGCAGAGGGGCTAGGCATCAACAAGAGGACTAAACACACGTGGCTCGGGCACTCTAGAAGGCAGCTATTTGCAGAAGGTCAGGATGCAAGCTCTGGCCATCAGTAGTAGCAAAGACTGCTGACAGCTGGTTTAGGCAGTAACAACCCAGTGGGTGCACATACTTCCTTTTGGAAGTACTAAAGCATGGTGCAGTATCTACCCATACTGTGCCATGTGCATGGTGTATGATTAACTTTAACTGGTACTTTGCCACAGCGGGCATGCTAAAACTGGGGAGCGTGCCACTATAGCAAAGTAGTTGCTGATCATGTGTAGACTCACGTGATTGCTGTGTCGCAGTAGCACATCATACGGCCATGTAACGTGCCACTACAACAACATAGGGTGACGTGTAAATGCACCCAGTTAGTAACTAATCCTCCCATATACACAGGATCTAGTTTGTGTGAACCTCTTAGTAGACAATTTTATTTACTTCAGATATTTCTTTATATTCTGCTAGGGCTAAGTAGAAATGGTCAAAAGGCCCCTGGTGGAAGCTAACTATCACTTGACCAAGTGGTATGAAGTTAGAGCATAAGCAAATCAAACAGACATTCATTCGATGTATGGTGGAGCGGGCTTGAAGCCTACCCACAATGGCCACTGGAGCATTCCCGCATGCCTTCCAGGAGGCTGCCAGAATAGCCCTTCTCCCCATTCCCACCCCCCTCACCAGCTGACGACTGTCAGCAGCAGCTGGGGCAAGACAGACACTGAAGCCCTTCCCTTGCAGCAGCCCCATACAGGCAGTGGGGAACCCAGAGGCCTTATCCCAGTCCCCAATTCCCCTCTCCCCCCACCCCCCGCAAGCCAAGCAACAGTGTGCTGCTGTCTGGCAGAGGCTGCTGCAGGGGAGGAGACCCCAGAGGCCTTTTTCCACAGCCCCCCTAATCAGGCTGTGGCGCACCACCAGGCTGGGACAGCTGGACTGTGTGCCAGGCTGGGATTGGAGGCTGTCACTGAGCAATGCCAGCTGGGATGGCAGTGAGCACACTCTAAGTTAATCCTTGATGGGATCTGGCAAAGACATTCGATAAACTGCTCTAACAAAGTGCTTTCATCTAATTCCTCATCCAGTGATGTTACCTTAGCACAATCCGCCACTTTAAAAGTGCTCTAGACTCCTGAATGTTTGTTCAGTTATAGCTTTAGAGCACTTTCTGCCTGCTTAAACTAAGATAGGTGTAACATGTTGTCCTAGGCTAAGGACAGATATTACATAAATAATCAGAATCTGGACCCCTGTATGAGATTTATTTAAAAGTATGTGTTTGGAATTGGACTTTTTCAGATTTTTGTAAAAGGAGGGGAAGGGAAAGGGAAGTTCAAGATGCCCTATTTACTGGTTATTTCAATTGAAACAGAATTACCTATATTAATTTTTAGAGCAAGTGTTATGACTTCCCTGAAGGCTACTCTCTCAAAAGCTTTTATTACTAAAACTGACATTCACCTTGAAAACTGTGCAACTCAAAATAAAAATAAAAAAGCCTGAGGATATAGTAAGTGAAATTCAAAACACCTGTAAACTCATCCCCCAGCATCACTTCTGTAAAATTCACTCATGGGTGTAATGCTTCAAAACGACATCATAATTTCAGCAACCTTTTATAATCAACTTTTTATACGGCTATAAAAGTAGCCCAGTACACTAGAGACATATTTCCACCCATCCCCACACCCACCAAGAAAGAAATAAGACACCAGTGTACTTTTTTTAACTTTATTTGCATGCATTTAATCTCAGCAACAGAAGCATAAAAGAGATTTTTTTTTAAATTTAAAGAAAAGGTTAAATGCCAACACAGAGCAACTTGCTGAGACTGCCTCAGAAGTTCAACACCTGACATTTGGTAAGAGGGAAGATTATTCCATTATCGAAGGGCTTCTTGAAAGTGGAAGGAACCTTCCTTTGGAAAAAAAAATATCAATTTATTATTTTGCTATACAACAGTGCACAGCATGGTCAACATGGCAGCCATAAGTCACACAGAAGACCCCTCTAAAGAGCTGCATGCAGCACTTATCGTTTAATAAGCTATATTGCAGCAGGACTCACAGGTCTCAGACCCCACTGATGCATGCTGTTCATAATAAGACAGTTCTCTGCCTAAACAGGTCCCAGTGAAGCAATGGAAGTTTGTTATCAGTGTTAATAAAATCAGAATTCATTGTCACGAATGAAAAGATATTTTAAGTAAGCTATTTACAGAAAATAATTCAAATATCCATTTAAAACTTAGAACAGAAGCTCAACTGTTTTAAAAACACCTTGGCTGACTGCTCGTCTGTTAGCCTCATCTGTTTGCTCTTTGTTGTCTGTGGCTGTAAACCAGATTAAGTATGAGTAAAAGTGATACCAGATTTCTCCTGGGACAAAGTCTTTCATCCTGTGACAAAGCCCACTGTCCTGCTTTAAGTACCTGTGAAGACAACATTTTTTTCCCCCAAAAACAGTTGCAACTAATTCAAATTCAAATTGAAATTAATTCCAGGGACAAGCTGCCTGTACAGAAGGTTATACCTCTCCAAGGTTTTGGCTCTAATCAATTAGAACAGACTCAAACACAACATCTGTTTTTACTATAAGTATTAGGGAGGCTGAAGAGGAACGGGTTACAATAAATTATTACTGAAGATGAAGACAACCTGGGCTTCTGACTGTCTCAATAGAAAAGGATTTTTATGAAGTGTTATTGAAAAATTCAATATTTAAGCAGTGTTAAGACAGCCATCACTGGGAGAAGAGTGCACACTTGAAATTAAAGGAGAAAACCCCAAATTAACAGGATGAATGAGGCACAATTCAACACCGACTGGAAAGCAGTCAGGATTGTCACCAAGCTTCATAAAAAAGGTTGCTTGATAATATCAACCTATCATTCTTCACTACAAGGGAGGTCTGCATTTGCCTCAATAGATTAAACATTTAGATAAAAGTATTTTCTCCCATTAGAAACATCCAACTTCACCATGGAATCTAAAGCTGGCACTGCCTAAACTAAGGGAACTATATTTTACTCTTAGCTTCTAGTCTATTTCCTCCTTTATCAATAAATAAGTTTAAAAATGGTGTAGGAGAGAGGTTGCTGTTGTTCTATTTTCTGGGTTTGTTTTTTTTTTTAAATAATGATTATTAGTTCTATAAGAAAAATGACATATAAGCTCTTAGGTTTAATCCCCTTTCAACAGTTTTGACATACAGAAGAAGCAACAACAAAACATCACTATCACTTTTGGACTGCTTAGAATTTTGTTGCATCAGGACAACAAAGAACTGAATGGAAGCTGGGATTATTCCATCTTCTATGTAGACAAGTAATGCATACATTCAAGAAGTTAAAAAGGCAGCTTATGGTGCCTAATGGACACTCTTAACATCTACCTAAGGGAGCACATGTTCCACAAGCAAGATTTGCATAGAGAACAAAGTCATTTTGAAGGGAAAGTTTCCATATAAATGCATGGAAGAACAGTTGGGTTAAGAACAGTTAACCAAATTCCAGCCATTAATAAAAACTTCAGAGTATCTTTCTGAGAGATGAAGCATGAATCTCATCCTGTACCATTTATGACAGCTAGACAAAAATAAAGACAATGGAATGAGAAGGGAAGAGTCTGCACATGTAGTTTAGTGTGCATGATTTATTTTGTCCAAGAAAA